ACTCCTTCCTTACCTGCAGAAGTTGTCTCATTAACCCTTCACCATGCACTTCGAAACCGGCCGCTTCGGAAGGTCCGCCTGTTTGGACCTCGGCCGCTCGTCCAGAAACTCGACCCACCTGAGGTGCTAATGGAAGACCCTAGGCCCACGACGTAGAGGGACCTCCAGACTGGACACGTCTGGACACCCCTTCCAGCACCCTCCTGGCCAGGCTGTTAGTTGAGGGTTGTTAGGCCCTAACAGGTCTCTATTGGTGACCTGTCGGAGGGTCCTGGTTGAAGGTTTATGATCAGGGACATGAGAATTCATATGCTCAGCGCCCAGACGCTCCGTGAGGCCATGAGGCCGTTCCCTCCCAAAAGGCTACGAATCGGCCCCGAAAACGTCACGTCTCGGGATCCCTGAAGTCATCACCCTAAGTCTCCCCATGTCACGGGGACCCGTGGTCGTCCTGACCCGCGCGCCGTGTTCGGCCCCGTTCAGAAGCGAACTCCCCACGCCGACTGAACGCAACGCGGACCTCCGAACGCGCCGCCGGTGGCAGGTGGTGCGGGACTTTCGAGACTTTGTCACCAAGTTCGTGGAGAGCGGCGAGGCGGCGAGTTGGGCCGTCGACTTGGGCCGTGTCCGAGCAAACGAAGGTCCGAGCGAGTTGGGCGACGGAAACTGGCAGGGGTCGGACCTTCTCCCCCTTTGTAGAGGGAGGAAGTCTGGGCCCCTAAACCCCAAACCCGGATTCTGTTGCTTGTTTTGGGCCCGGATTCTTCGGGTGGAACAACAGATCCATGTGTCTCCATCGGAAACATGTTCACGAACGTCTCTCGCCTTTCAAACGTACGGATTCGAACCGGCGGAATGGTCCATTGGTGGACACCGGAGACGGATCAAAGAGTCTCCTAAACGGCGTTCTTGGCGTTTCTGTCGTTGGTATCCGTTTGGTTGCACACATGGACGTGGAATCATGGAATGCTACACAGCTTCCTGCTGTCAGACAGTCATTGCTTGTTTGAGTGACTCGTGTTTGAGGCAACCTACCTCAAACAGTTGCGAAAGATTTGGGAGCAGCAGGAGGAGGGCAGCTTTACTTTTTTGCAAAACGACCGGAACTTTGTTAGCCCACTCCATGTATTATCTCCCTTGTTCTTTGTGTTCAAGGTCTAGGTGCTCACTGTCTGTTTATAACAGGCAAATATGATTACGCATTACAATATAGCGCTATATTTCTTTTAGAGAAAGGCCTTCACTAACCATCATCGTCCACTGTTACAGGGAATGGGACATACTTGTACCGTCCAGTTCCACCACATCTATATATATTCTCGGATCCAGGTTATATTATATATTGTACTTACGAACATATGTCAACATATAACACCAAGTTCAATGGAAGGAATAGTTGTGATTTTTTTCTTTGGACAATTACCTTCTACATCTGTAACAAACTTTTGTTTCAGTACTGTATAGAGAATAGATAGGAAAACACTGCTATGGCTTGTTCATCTAATAAACGATCAATACCATTCGTTTGAATTGACAACTGAACAATCTGAACTTTACTGATGGTATCAACTATATTTCAGTATTAACAAACATTTAGACTTAATCATTCTCAGCATGTGTCAAGATATCATACGGTTCAGAGGGCGTTTGCAATGTTGAAATATAAAGTTAATTAAAATTATACTGACCATTGTCGCAGTCAAAATAGACTTTTTAGTACCTTTACTGAAATAATGCTTTAGGGAAATACAACAGTATTGTTGAGAGGTACAATGGGTGATATTATATATTCTGAATACTACATGCCTCTCTTAAATAAGTTCACACACGCATTATATATATATAAATATTTATGTTATACACAGTATATAGTATATATGATTAAGTATGACATAAACTTACACACGTGCAAAACTCTACATTGCTTGCGGGACATGCTTCAATTAAATCACATCACTGGGGTACTTTAAGCCCGATATGTCATGCAGGGTAGGGATCTTAGCCTACTTAGCTCGTATATAAGGGCTTGCACATCAGAAAGACTCCATGACAGCTTGCTTGCAAAAGTCTAGCATCAACATGACTATTCTGGGTATTGTTTATGCCAGTTGCCAATGTGCAAATCTTGGTTGTTACGTCATGTGCTGCTGTTTTGTATAACAGGCACATTTAATGTGGTTTTGTTTTCGGTCCTTGCATATGGTGAAACCTCCATTAGACATTGGATTGTTTCATTTGATTCCGATAATCTATTTGGTCTCCTAGTAGCACTAACATCCTTTCTCACTTAATATGTTAATTGATCTCTCTATATATATTATATATATAACCCCAGGAAAGATTTCAGGAAGGCATCAGCACCAACCACAGTTTGTCCAAAAGAAACAATTGTATGATGAATTAGCAAATTAGATGCTTATTGTTCCACGTTGTATTTTTGTCAATACGATATTTAGACAACTTTACCATTATTGATGTTGAACATGTTATTGTATGTCATTCCATTCGGACCTAAATCTCGTAGCAAATTCAATTATGCCAAAACCCCAGCTCCTGCACCACTGACAACTATATTTACGCCATAGTTTCTTTACCTGGAGGTTTAAATGGCTTTATCAATGCTGCAAACAAAGTAATTAATAGCAGTACCATGTCCAGCGATCATGAACAACAGGTATATCAAGCCTTTGTTGCAATTAATTCTTTATCAAACAGCCAGGAGCTGCAATGTATTCAAAGTTAATCGCGTCAAAAGTACCTCCAATATTGGCAACTGTATCAATAAAACATAATAATGCTGTCCACACCATTGTTGTCGACTCCCAAATCCAATGTATGAAAACCAGCAAGCTCTCTAGAAGGAGGTAGTTGTTTCACTAGGAGACGAGAAATTGAGATTGAGATAGTAATGGGAGGCAGTAGTTAAATCGCTGAAACACCGAGACCTGAGACATACGGAGACCTAAGCTTCACCGAGAAATACTGAGACCACATGTTGGGACACCTCAGACCTCCCCCCTGACTGGGTTTGTAGTCCTTTCCCGAGGAGTGGACCGACCTTTGGAGTGAAGTTTGTAGTCCGTGACCTTTGGAGTCCCAAACCCTAAACCCTACACCCTGTTGGTGACCTAACTTCGCCCAAACTCGACCAACGAGGGGATCAAGTTCGGAAGATCCAGACCATTTCGGTTTGGGATTGGTGGGAAACCACCAATCTGGAAGATCTGGAGGGAACGAAGAAATCACTGTGGCGGTTGTTTTGCGGCCACACCATTGCAACCCAAAACAGTGTGATCACGGCCTAGTCCGCACCAATCCCAGATATAATGTTGAATCCAAATTAGTATAATGGGACGGAACAATAATAAGTTTTCGCCAATTTTTTTCACACACCCTGATTAGTTTGATGGGTCGGAATAAAACAAAGTTTTTTCACCCAGTGTCTGTTTTAAGGTTTGTTTGTTTGTTTTCTATTGCTCTGCTATTGCTCACCCTTTAACTTCCTTACTTAACTCTCCTGATGTTTGCTTGATTCATGGAGTTCTAACCTGGAAATCGTTTTCAAAAAATCGTTTTCAAAAACGCTTATTGTTTAAACTCAACGATTTCATTGCTCCAAACAATTTTTCAAGGGGGTAGTACACCAGCCTAGGGTAAGTGAATAATACGAATTGTTTAGGGGGTGGGATTAATATGCAATCTTGGGGCCCTAAGGGAAAAATCTAACTTTATTATTGTTCTATATTGTTCTACTACTGCTGCCCTTTCTAACCTTGTTTATCTCTTCTACGACCACGACTACTACCACTACCACTGCCACTACTACTATTACTACTACTACTACCACCACCACCACTACTACTACTACTACTACTACTACGATTACGACTACGACTACCACTACCACTACCACTACTACTACTACTACTACTACTACTTCTACTACTACTACTACCACCACCACCACCACGACTACTCCTACTCCTACTCCTACTACTACTACTACTACTACTACTACTACTACTACTTCTTCTTTTGGTGGCAGGGATTCTCTTCAGACTCCCTGGATTGTTTGCTAGGGGGGGTTCTCCCGTACTAATTAGGATCGAACATTAACTCATAGGGCTCCAGTCGTACCTCCTCAGGAGGTATGACCGGACCCTCCTGGCACCCACCCCACATAATCCAAACCCAAACGACCGCCAGAAGCCCAAGCGTTGGGCACCACTGGGCGCGGTACACGGCGCCGCAGGACAAGACCAAAGGGATCAAGTTCCCCCTGCAAGGCGTGGTACGTTGCGATTCAAGCAGTTCCTGAGTTGCGTGTTTTTCCAGTTTTTTTTGTGCGATTTTCAGCACCATGGATTTCGCGGTGCAGTTGTTTTACGTACGTATAGACACACCATTCCCGAGGGATCCAGTCGTACACCCTCCTGGCACCTACAAAACAGCGTCTTACCTCTCGGAGGGTCTGCGGATCCCTCGCGATTTACAACACCAGGTCAACCTATACCCTACACCGACCCGTCGTACCGAACCTCAGCGCTTCGGTAGCTGGACCCGAACATGGCACCCACCCACCCCGCGGCCCCGGTCGTCCGAACCGGTTCGCGGTTCGGCACCGACCAACGGAGGCCAAACGGACTGACCTCGCAAGATCGGGTTGGTGTTCCCGAACGAACGGGGTTGGTGTCCCGGTTCGGACCCTTTGACCTACATCGAAGGGCGCCATCTGGATCGCATGCCGCATGTGTTTGATGTTCGTTTTGACAAGGGGAGACAACGGGACATGGAAAGATCTGCATGACAATTCGTCTATATGTCCTGCTTCCACAAAAGGGGCTCGTTGTTTGGGAGCTCTCCCTAATATGTTGATGCGCACCCATGTGGATCTTGGGATATTTATTTGGGGTGTCCCATCCACATTTCCGGCAACTTTGGACAGAAGACGTCGTCTCATTGAATTGGGAAATGCTCTGAGCAACCAGCTCACGCCCTTCAGCCAGCTCAAGGGCTCCAACGCACCTCTCGCCACCGGTTCCCGCGCGAACCTTGCCATGGTGAGTGGAGGAAGGCTCCTCCTCCTTTACTTGCTAGTGCCTGCCGACACCAGCCGATCGGTGGGTCACTCCTGTGAGGGCGACTCATGTGAGCCCTCTGCCATGATGCAGCTCTTCAGCAATGCCATGTACTCGGCGGATGAGTCCTGCAATGCCACCGGCGACGAGTCTGGCGGTTGAGCGGTTTTCGAGTGGATGTCTTCTTACTTTTGTTCCTGGTGACCCTTGGTGACCCTAGGTGATCCTGGCGGATCCGATCCCCTTAGCTGCGGCTAGCTACCGGCTACATATAGCTGCTTTGTTTCCTTTCCCCTGGGTGCTATTGGTCAGGCGGGGCTGGGGTCCCAGGATCTAGTAGGGTGAGCTTTTGTTTTGTTCCGATTCCCTAAGCCAAGGTGCGAATCCCTTCAGAGTGGGACAGGGCAACGGCATGAATTGCAATGGATATACCTTGAATGGCCAATGCTCATGTCTCAACACCGAGGACAATCAGGCGAGGGGGTCCACGAATTTCCACGGCACTTCAGGTTTTTATGCCACGCATTTTGGAGCCAAAAGCCTATTTTGAGATGTGGCTCCAAGATAAGACCATGGACCAGCCGGAGGTTGGCCTAGATTGTTATAGTTTGTTTTTTTTTTTTCAGTTGGTCAATAGTTTCGGGGTGTCTTTGTTTTTGGAACCATTAACCATAGTACCTGAACCCTCCAAAGTACCTTAGAAAATGGGACATGTGACATGAAAAAGTATAGATATTCATACGAACTGAGACTCCAAGTAGTGGCTACTGGCTACAAGAACGTCTTCCCTGACTTCAAGTCTTCAACCAGTCTTCTCTTCGCCCAGACGGCCAACTGGGCGAATAAGCTCAGCTCCTCCGCCCTCGTGTGCCTCTACCAAAGCTCCCCGGCTCCTTTCCCCACTCCCTCCCCATTGTATTGTTTCTGTTGTTGTTGTTGTTGCTGGTGGTGGTGGTGGTGGAGGAAACAAAAACAGCCGCCCAACATAGCTGTCACATGTTGTAACTCTGGAACTTCAAGGGGTCAAGGTTAGGGATATGGCTTCGAGCATCTTCGAGCAAATGTTGGTTTCGTGGGCAGCTGGACTTGTTTCACAGAAGTCTGGGTTGGTCCGCTTTTAGTGTGTTTGATAGTTCTGGAAGGGGGGTCCAAAAAGCAACAACGGGGCTCATGCCGTTTTTGTTTAGGTTGGAAAAGCATCGCCTTTTGAAGGGGGTATGCGAAAAACACCACCACGGGGCTCCAGCTTTTGTCTCTAGGACGTGAAAGAGGTTCCTAGCGGTAGTTTGTAGAAGTAGTATAATGGTTGTAGTAGCAGTCGTAGTCGTAGTCGTAGTGTTAGTGGTCATAGTAGTGGTGGTAGTAGCAGTACTAGTAGCAGGAAGTTATATAGTACGTAGTGGAACTACTCATCCCATTATTGCTGCTGGACTACCTCTGCCACCATTGTATACTACTTCTACTACTACCAATACTATTAGCATTACTCCACCACTACTACCACGAGGAGTACTACTACTACTACTACTACTACTACTACTACTACTACTACTACTA